AGTCGTTGAGATTACACATTCAAATCTATTCGTCTCTCATCCACAACAAACAAACACTGTGGTCACAGTTACTTGATCGAGTTAAATATCCATATGTTAGGTGATCAATAAGATTCTCTAGTTGCATTTGTGAATAAACGCTCCACAACTTATGTCATGCATACTTGGAGTCGATTGTTAAAAGGAAGATTATAGAAACTATTGCGTACGTGAAAATACCTTTGCAGTATTAGACCTTCAACGATTCAGTAGTAATAAAATAGTAATACAGATTCAGAAACTGGGCATTCAACATTAGTTTGGAAGGATGCATGCTCGTTTCATTCACATGAAGTTCACTTCAATGATTTGAGATGTTAAGTTGAATAGCTGCTGCATAAGGAAAGTGCCTGTACCCGTAGATCGGTTCCAGAAGGATCTTGGTGTGACCGATGTCCTCAACTTAAGACCACCGATCGTCGCCGTACGGTTGCAGCTAAGACGTTTACAGCACTGTGGGTTTTAAGACGGACATTCACCAAGTTAGATACTAACATGATCACCACAGTATACACAACCTTCTTGAGAAATAAGCCTGAATAATGGATTGACGCTGTTGGTTCTTATTTAAAAGTTGACCTGCAAAAAATGCTGAGTGCAGTTACCCGTGCGATTCCAGAACTCCGATGTTTACAACAAAAAGAGGATTGAAATACAAGACCTCTTTACTGTGTCTTATCGTAGACGGAGATGTGACCTGATTTCGATGCACAGAATACAAGAAATGATTTTGGACCCAAAATAATTTATCATTTGCTTCCCACTAGATGTGTTCATCTCAGAGAACAAAGTGAACGTGTAGTAGAGTCAAGAACGAGCAAAATATACGTGGCATACAGGTTTTCACACATTCATATTCTGAAGTTTTCGATGAATAAATGGAAACAGTGTGCCTTACAACTAACTAGAATCCTCGGCATTGACAAACGAGCCTGCTACGCTTTCCTCAAAAACGTACTACTAAATCATGTATTGTGTACTAATTTCGAGTGCTGGGAAGATAAACATTTCATGAAAACGTCGATAACTCCACCACGTTACATAGTCATTCTGATCTGATGCGAATAACAGATATTAGAGTAATTGCAAAGCCAGTCACGGAGTTGACCACAAGTTTGGTACATGTTTATCCAGTGCTAAATTGCACTCACATAATTCCTTTGTATTTCGTAATGATGAATGTCTAAAATGTTGTACAATTGGTTACATTCGGTCAGTCTGTAGAACTACATTTAGTATTGACACTAATGAAGATAAACACTGTAGTTCGGATTTTATTAAATTGTGAGATTCTAGTGATAACTTATCTTTTACAACACTTCGGAAAATAATGTTCATACTCAGTAGCGACTATATACCTCCCTTGATTAATTCTATGACTGTTATGTTGAGATAGAAAGTATATAGTAATACTTCAGTCCAGAATTGAATGACGCTTTGTTTGCCTTATATAAACCTGAAAGCAAACGTCAACTGGAACAAAATTTTGTTCCACGTGACATTTGTTGAGGAAGCCGAAGCGATCCCCATCCTAAAAACAATTAATGCAGCAAAATAAATACGAGAAAAAACATTTCAGAAGAATCAAATCCTGAATATGAATCGAATGCTTATCGGAAATCTGGTGCGATTTTGTTAGATGCTGATTCTTGAATGACATTCTTACTAAATTGGAGGAATAACATTTCAGAAGAATCAAATCTTGAAGATGTCATGTTAAATGCTACTTGTGCTCATCATATTTGTTTTTTGGTGGGAAATTCAATAATTATTTATTTATTTTCCTCAACACATAAACATTGATACAACAAGGCTGTTATATCTGTGAGACAGTAGCTGATTAAAGGGTAGCGAATTATCGATCGGACCAAAGACGCACAAACACGTAGAACGACCTAGGGTTCTGATTGGTCCCGCTTCCCTATCTAGCCCAGCAGTTGAGTCCAGAACGAAAGTCACAGCCTCGGATATATGAATCATTATATTTCAAACATACTTTGTTTATATACCAGTCAAACAAACCACATCATACCATAAAATAGAAAATAACATTATACAATATTGGCCAGTAGGAAAATGACACGTTAAATAAGTATTGACCAATAAGAAAATAATACCATGTCCAAGTCCAAGAATAGCATTAGGCTAAACAGGATAATTTCTGGGATATTTTCCTGAATATCCCAACACCTCCCCTTTTTTGGAGATCCGGATTTTGGATTTCTTCGCGTCTATCCTCCCCCGCGGAATAATGTTGGGTCCTCGTATACCCAAGTAACAGTTAGTGTGACTCTATTTAAAGCATATTTCCCGCATTGAGTAGAGAGTCCACTAGAGCTGACTAGATGCTGAGGATCAGCGACAGTAGATATGAGGTCATTAGAGTTTGATTCTTGTGAAACATTCACATCAGATCTCTTCGAAATTCCATTAGTGGATAATACGTTACCAAAATAAACAGCATCTATCAAAATTGTATTAGATTTCTGACCATTGTTTGATGCATGTGACACATTCTCTGGCAAAACAAGAGAATCTTTTCGTGAGCTGGATATGCTACTGTCTGTACATGCTGTTTCGGGGATGATGGAGTTTGACTCCATTACCGGGCATGTTTCTGGAATAGAAAGTACTGGACCACCGGGCGCATCATGGACGACTGTTTCGTTTGAAGTACAGCTCATCGAGGATTCATGGAGGCTGTCATTTTCCAGCTCACTGTGAAACTCAGATATCAATCCGTCCACTTCCGTCGCATCTTCATAGCGTGAATGATTTAGCAGCTGCGTGCGGAATTCGACTAATAACTCCAAATGTCGTTCAAAGAGCAGCTGTAATCGATCGGAAGGGAGAGTCATTTTTTCGAATCAGCACCTGTGATGAAAATTACTGTGTGAATAATGACCAATGTCGTTGAAGGACAGTGACGACAATCTGGATGCTGATTGGTTGAATAATTAGACTGGATTTCGTCCAATTACAGAATGACTTGGATTGTTGTTTTTTTCACCCCGTCGCCAATTGTTATAACTGTGAGACAGTAGCTGATTAAAGGGTAGCGAATTTATCGATCGGACCAAAGACGCGCAGACACGTAGAACGACCTAGGGTTCTGATTGGCCCCGCTTCCCTATCTAGCCCAGTAGTTGAGTCCAGAACGAAAGTCACAGCCTCGGATGTATGAATCATTATATTTCAAACATACTTTGTTTATATACCAGTCAAACAAACCACATCATACCATAAAATAGAAAATAACATTATACAATATTGGCCAGTAGGAAAATGACACGTTAAATAAGTATTAACCAATAAGAAAATAATACCATGTCCAAGTCCAAGAATAGCATCAGGCTAAATAGGATAATTTCTGGGATATTTTCCTGAATATCCCAACAAAGGCACAGAGTATATATGCGCCACATAAATCACTCGATCTGTGTGAGGGCTAGGCTATATTCCGTTTGCTGTGGAGCGTTCGACCTAAAGGTGCAATCCACAAGGCGGTGAAGCAACGTGAGAAATTCAGTTTCATGGTAGCCGCTGACTCATAATTGATTCACACGTCATTTATTCACTCCGAATCTCAGAGCCTATGTGCACCATTGATTAGTACTCAGGATTTTCCAATTTCGCTTATGTGGCTACTCCATATCCAACAACATGCTTTATTCGCCAACCACTCGCACTTTGTCCTCGCCTACTCGCGAGACATCAAGGAGTAGTACGTCCTTGGCAGGAAATGTGCGCACGTGGCCATGTAAGAGCATTTGTAGTGAGAGTGAGAGTGAGCTGACTCTCCTCACTCTCGGCCGTATCATGGCACTTAGGGGCTCCTAATGTGGGAAACCTGAAACAAGTTCAAAATCAATTTCAACCTAAAATTTGATCGGATGATTCAATATCAAATGTTCTATATAAAATATTATTTCATGGAGAAAACAGTGTTTGAAGAGCTATGCTTCGAATTGCAGACATCAATGATATAATTATACGCATTGGCATATTATTCAGATACGCTTCCAGAAACCAGATGACTGTGTCACACAGAGTCTACATGCAAAACATAGCTGAACAAATGAACGATAAACTTATGGAGAAGTTCAGTCCATTAGAGAAATTCGGACTCCTATTTAAACTGTGATGGCTTTGATAATTTTACGAATTAATGGTTTCTTCGTACTTGATGGCCTATGATTTCGAGTTTTCAAAAACAACAAGTTCGTGTGTGTTCATTCAGTTTCTCACAGCACAATTCAGAACAATGAAACTGAACATCTTCAGTGACAACCGTGAAGTATGTGTGCTCCGAAAACTGCAATTCATTGTGCAACGCTGGATACTTATTTTTCAACAGCACTTAGCACACCAAACTATCAACTCAGTATCGGTATCCTTTGTGAATCTGAGAAAGACAACTCCGTTTTAGCTCGTTTGGAGGAATAAGCTTTGAGTGAAACTGATGGCCGTTTATTGCTTCTGTCAACAATATAAATTTGTAAAGAATCACAATCCGTCTAGATAACACCGAATTAACTTTGGTTTGTCACTCATCATTAACATAAGAATGAATAATGAAGTAACGAAGGATGACGATGGACATTCACAACAAACTCATTGTTGATTGCAATTAACACAAAATAAAGTAAACACATGACTATTAATTCGGAAAAAAGTGTTGTCAAACTCTCGTAAGAAAAGTCAGCTTCTAATGAATAAAGACAATGACGTAAATATTATAAATCATGTTTGATATTTAATTAACAAGAATACATCGGCTATAACATAAACAAGCACAAAATGTACATAGTTCCGTGAAGAAAAGTTCAAACCATTAAAATGAATAACTAAATCTAAAACTGTTCATTGAAATACGAAAAAAAAGCGGAACTGGTCCGAATATTCGAGTCTAGTTATGAGACTTTGTTGAGAGTCATTCACTATTTCTCCTTCCTTTATGCTACCATCTACAAATAACACAACTGATGCATGCAGCAAAGAAGAAGACGACGGAAGGAATAACAATATACAGATACCAAAGTGATTTGTTCTGTTCACTTTCTTGAGTTATTTCAGTGGTCGCATTCTATAGAAAAATAAAACAGTAGCATTTATCACTAACTGTCAAATATTTACCGAGTATTGTTCATTTCCATTGGTAGTTTCCGTGACGTTTCCTCCAACCTGAACTTCAGGGATCCCAAATGTTGTTCCGTTTTGATTGACGGGTGTCGATGTACTCACATCGTTAACATCGGGGCTCTTTTGGATAAACAAAACAGTAGCATTTATTATTAACTATCAAATATTTACCGAGTATTGTTCATTTCCATTGGTAGTTTCCTTGACGTTTCCTCCAACCTGAACTTCAGGGATCCCAAATGTTGTTCCGTTTTGATTGACGGGTGTCGATGTACTCACATCGTTAACATCCGGGCTCTTTTGGATAAACAAAACAGTAGCATTTATTATTAACTATCAAATATTTACCGAGTATTGTTCATTTCCATTGGTAGTTTCCTTGACGTTTCCTCCAACCTGAACTTCAGGGATCCCAAATGTTGTTCCGTTTTGATTGACGGGTGTCGATGTACTCACATCGTTAACATCCGGGCTCTTTTGGATAAACAAAACAGTAGCATTCATTAAAAAGCATGAAATACCCTTAGATTAATTCATTACGCTTTACTGTCAATAAGGGTAATAAAATACAATTCAACAAACAGTAACAAAATGTGCATTTGTACAATCATTCAGAACATCTAACACCGATTCGACATACCTTAAAATGGCAATCATTCACTTTAAAGAAATGATTATCCTGATGATGACTGTCGATGCACGTGTTCCATTTCTCACACCAAATACATTTTACATTCGATGTTGTTGCTTTTCGACATGCTTCAAATGAATTGTGTATTGGACAAATTGCTGTAAAAGTAATAAGGTGATTATATAATTCGAATACTTAAACAGAACTAAAGAGAATCACAATACATGGAACTATAACTAAATGACATGATAGTGATTTCAGTGTTAAGTGACTATTTCATTCACTAGAGAGTTGCTATCACAGTGCGTAATGCAATACTCAGTATACATTCAATTTCATTAACGTTTCACAACGGAATGTTTAGAGTGAATGAAACAAGTTAGAATATCAATTATGAACTATGAATTCCGACTGACAAACTTGACAGAATTCAATGCTGTCACTGGTTTCAGCAAAGTATGTGGCCGCATTCTGGTCTGTGTGCTGTCGGTTAATGCAACAGACTAGTTGGATCAACGAAAATTCATCGATAATAAAGACAATATTTTATGCAATGAATATTGAAGGTGAATTGATCATTGGATAATGGAATGATTCTCTCAGTGGTGGAAATGTTGTTTCGGTACCTAACACATGGTGAACTGAAATCTGTTTTAATTTACTGAGTGTTCATATTCAATTTCGTATTGTTAAATACATCAATAATTCTGAGACTGTCTATGATGAATATAAGTTTGATGACGTCACATTTCTTCATCTTCATTTTATCGGATATGGTTAAGCAAAGTTGTTGTCAAAACTGTTAACAGCTCAATCTTAGACCATTTAGTCCAAACAGGACATACAGCCAACATCGAGCAATCTTTTGCAATAGTTTACCGTGTCAACAGCAGTCAACCTAATTCCGTCAGACTGCGAATCCTACAGACGGCTGAAGCAATTGCTATTCGGATCAAAAAGCCAGAGCTTTGTATCCAAAAGAAGTATGTTCAGCCACTCCTTTTACCCTGGCCAACTAGCTAATAATCAATCTTAAAATATGGTGACGTAATCTGATTAATGTTCATTTTATGTCCCAAACTTATTATTATTATTACTGCTATTATTATTATTATTATTATTATTATTATTATTATTATTATTATTATTATTATTGTCTTTACACTTGATAACCCCTTTTTGATGAATTTATTCAATATCCACCCCTGAATCGACTATATTTGACCTAATTATTTTACATATTACGTAATTTCCGATTTGTAATCACAATATTCTCTCTCTCTGTTACCCCATGTTGACCATATTTATTCTGATAATTTATCTCACAATTTCATTTCGCTTATAAACTGATTCAAGATAACACTTCATATTAGTCAGCCCCAACATTAACAATTTTATTTTATATAAAAAACAATTCCTGATTCACATATTGCAATTTCCAAATGATGATGTATTTTGCCTTAAATTTGGCCAATTTTATGGATTATTAATCTGGATTTATAATTGTAGAACCTGATGAGAAATTATTGAAAAGAATATCCTTCGTTCATACAATTGTGTTCTTATCGGATATGTATGACAAAGCAGAGATTTTGGAAAGTAGCCAACCGTTTTGAGGTTAATCGCAATGACATGGAGTGTTCTTGTGATTTCAATGCTCCAGAAATATTCGATATCACATGTACCAAAAAGGAAAAACAGAAGCTACCTGGTCAATCCACAATCAAATAACTGTCACCTAATCTTTTTCCAGATTACTATCAAGTCATACATCGTTTTGTGAGTTTGTCCACAAGACTTGAATATCATTCTTGATATTTAAAAGTCAATCGACGTGTAGTTACTAATGGTAAGTGAAACGTATTTTGAGACGGATGCCTGGATATCATTTAGTAGCCGACTGCAGTCACAAATGAAATTTCCAGAGTGTTGAAATAAAAAGGATGTATTCACGTGTGAATATAGTAAATGATGATAAATAAGGTTTAACATACTGCCAATGACTTCATACTCCACTAACGTGCCAGTTTTGATCCATTTTGAAGGAACAGATATCTCATGTTCTGTCTTACCTTGTGTGACAAATTGAAGAGAAAAAACCTAACATTTAGCAACAACTGAAAAATTCAAGTTAACCCTTTAAACATTTTTTCACGTTTCAGCTTACAAATAAACAACATGAAAGCATCAAATGAAAAACGAATGATGACTAGCGTTCCTTCTTATTTAAAAAGTCTCAACTGGATATTGCTGCATCTCGGCGTTGATGTTTACTCGTGGACAAGATCTGAGAACCATTCAGTTCAAACGTCAAACTGATATTCCCTCAACTATTCAGTCCAAACACCTACTGGTTTGTACGAAGCGTGAAAGGTTATTTCATTCCTGCTCTGTTAACTTAATCCTATCTTCGATATTTATGACGGCAGTCGATTCCACTGCTAACCACCATCCATCTTTGCCTACAATGCTTGTGATCAAAGAAAACATCGAAGCAATCATCACAGAAAGCGCATGAATCAATAAGAGACAGGTGGGAGAACTCCAACGAGCAATATAGAAATGACAAATTTCATCATTTTTTACTGACTCTGTTATGCACTTCAATGGAGCAATATGTATCACTTGACCAAATATTTGGTGCATGTTCTCACATGTGATCATGTAACACTGTATTCCGCTCATTCACTCAGCTTGAAAACTGAGCTTTATATTTCATCAACACATAAGATCGAGCATTGTGTGCAGAAAACATTAGCTTCAGGTGCTACTTATTCATCACGCGTGACGATATTTTATCTGCCTAATTTCATCGTTCATATATGTCTACCTCTTTCAGTTTATCGATCTCCAAAAGTACTAAACATTTCTTATTAACCATCAAAACTTTCGCGATAAAAAAACATTCATACACCTTAGTTACCTTACTCCAGATAGTCGGTCATATTAGCCTCAGTAAACAAATAATTGATCATAGACGTCACAGTGCGTCAAACTGTTAACATCATTCTTTGCAAAATTTCTTACCTGTTTTACATTGAAAGAATCCACGGATTCCGTACACTGTAGTGTTTGAAATTTCAAAAATATTCTGAAAGAGACATGGAACGAGGATTAGTCAGCACACAACCTTTTATATCAAAACAAATTGAACGCCAGCTGTCAACTTCAGTCAAGTTTGATGACTTATCAATCTAACATGTAATATGTTGACACACTGTGAGATGAAAATCTACGTCAGTTGTAAAGAAATGTGACTGTTAACAGCTTCATGGAAGCTGTGCTCAAATGATACATTATTGAATGTTCCGAAAAGCCGACCATTTGAAGATGAAATACAGTCTGACAGAATACGACACATTACATACACTATACTGACATACACTGGTTAGTAGTGTTTGACATGAACACATCATTGTTACAACTGATGTCACTTCACTTCTAATTACTCACATTTTAACAAGTGCTAGAGTGAGTTGTGTCATTAATAGAATAATTACAAAGTCAAGTAGTTTGTTTACACATCACAAAATGTTGATCTTTTTCCATTGTGTTCAGTGTAGCTTAATACACATTCGACAGTATTCATACGCATGAAATAGTAGGATGATCTCAAGTACTTGAAACAAAACTAAATGTACATTCAGTTATATAACTTACGTTCTCATAAAAGATAGATATCTTCCCATTCGGATATAACAGATTAGTTACTATGGGTGTATTCTCTACAATTAAAAGACAAACGATACTTAGAATTTGAAAGATATGTGTAACACAGCATGTGCTCACTCACAAAGTGATCAAATTTAGTGTATAATTACTGAGTTCTGTCAAATGCTTTCTTCAGTCGGATTCGCACTCAAAACATTGAACTAAACGTCATGTGAATGAAACGAGCATGCATCCTTCCAAACTAGTGTTGAATGCCTAGTTTCTGAATCTGCATTACTATTGAATCACTGAAGGTGAAATACTGCATATATATTCGCACATACGCAATATTTTCTATAATTTTCCTTGTGACAATCGACTCCAAGTACGTATGATATAAGTTGTGGAGCGTTTATTCACACATACAACTTGAGAATCTCACTGATCACCTAATATATGGATATTTAAATCGATCAACTAACTCTGACTACAGTGTTTGTTTGTTGTAGATGAGAGTCGAATAGATTTGAATGTGTAATCTCAACGACTTCTCAATGTGGAAGGATATATAGATATATAGGAATGATTATGTGATGAATGGAAGTGTAGATGAATATGATGTGCACAGGAGTGGTTTTGTGACGAACATATAACAGGTTTTCAAACAGGCAATGTGCATCAAGTCCCAATCAATTTGATCAAACGGTGAATGGATTTCACATTTGCTTCAACCCTCATTTTCTAGAAAAGTAACAAAGTTTTACATGTCAATTTTCTGAAAACTGAATTGCACAAACAGTGAGTGATGAAAAAGAGTAAAGAAGTAAGTGTGCAAATTTCACTTGTCATGAATAATGTTTACCTTTATCTTCTCCTTCAAGAGACCATCTGGCAGCGAATAATCCCTCTGAATTATTGAAAATAAAAGTAGATAATGAAATTTGTGAAAAATGATAATCCATCTCTTTTATTAAATGTACGTTTTAACATGGACTACCTCTGCATACAAGTTATCAGATTCATTTCAGCATTTACATGAAACGGTGTGGTGAAATGGTCGATCATCGCCTATGAGAAAGGTTCAAGGATTATTGTCACTTCAACGATATGATGAACATTTCAATCTCTCTAAGTGAGAATGTTACACTTCTGTTAATTTTTCTCAAACGATTTCGACTGAGTAATTGTCTTTTGATATTTGTTCGATGCTAGATTTTGTTAATCGTCAATTTATATAACTAACTGAGATATACGGATGTAAACTTGATATTCTAGGTGTTCTAGTTTGAGTAAAGAATCTTGCACTAGTCGACTGTTCACGTTCGTTCATTAGTCCGCTGTGTCAGAAAGTGTTTGAATTCGAAAATTGTATGAATATGAATATGATTAAAGAGATACAGTTGAATATACGATGGTTGACAGACAGCGACTCAGAGACATTAAACTTTTAGGAATCAAGTAAGTACTAGAAAAGTATTTTAGGGCATCCAACTGATTTATGTCAGAACATCGATTATTACTGAACATTTGTTTAGTTTGATTCACTCACTTTACTGAGAATTGTCGTATCGATGAGTTTCCATATGTGCAAAATGTATTTGAGAACAGTAAATAAAACAAACTGCAACTGAATAATTCAAGAAACTCACTCTCATTCAAAAGATGACGTGACAAATCTCTTCCTAAATAATTCGACATTTGACCAATTTCATCGTTGTTTTTAAATATACCTAAAACACCTATAATTTTGATAATGAAAACATACAATTCGATTGATAATTTCACATGGAATGAATAAAATATAAATTGCATAAGTTCGACATGTAACACGGAGCATGTAAGTGATTCAATGAAGAGATCAGCGCGTCATAAGGAGCATGCAACTGATTCATTGAAGAAATTGAATCCACTATGATTCATGCGATTAATTGGTGATCAAGTAAATTCAATAACAATTTTAGTTTAAAGAAAATTATGGACTTACCTCTAGGCCAAATTTTAAATTTATTGACTTCACTTTCAAAAAATTTTAACGGGAATTTTGGTTTAATAGGCTAAAAGGTGTAAATAAGTGGATAGCGCCTCAACTACAAAATGTAACCAACTCACTTTAGTCGTCTTGTACTCATTAAAACTGCCATGCACATTTGGACGAGGCTGATTGAGATTAATGGTTTGTGAGTAATAATAATGGTGAGACTGTATATGTCTATTAGAATCTGACTGATTACTTACATATCGATATGATTCATTCATAAAAATCACTTGTTCAAAGTTCTTCCACTTCGGCTGTTTACAAATTTCATCACAGTTACACAACACGGAAAATACGTTCAAGATCATAGAAATTCTTATGAACAGATTATATGGAGAATTGAATCTGAAATGGTTCAAGTGAATAAAAGAACGTTAACTCATGGAATCAAATTTCAATTTGCACGATACACTCATTTAACTCTTGTGTTCAGCTAACACTCACCTCATCATCTTGTTCAAAGCAGTTAATGAAATTTCACTAAAAATTGTCTGGTTTATATAGATTTATTGAGTGTTTGGTTGTTTTATTCTGATTCGATAATTCAAAGTGACCATGAAGGTCAAATTTCGTTCATTATGTTCATTATTGACGGAAAACATTTAGTGCACGGCCATTTTTGTATTTTTTTTTTCGAGTGAAATTTTTTTTCGTCCCATTGGAAAAAATTTACATCCCCATCTTTCAATAATTTTCATTCTGTTTCGTCCAATCAACTAACTAGTTTTGAGTTCGTTATAATTGGTCATTTATTTCTCTAAATCGATATAAAATATGAGGACTTGACGACAGAGCACATTTTCTTACAGTTATGGACCATAGTAGCGTGCGGAGTACAGTCTCCGTCGTTCATCACGTTGTCACAGAAACCGATAACCTATTCTTGAGCACATTGTGTCTCGTAGCGTTCCAATCTCTTGAAGCGTTGAAGAGCGCCATTAGAACGTATGAAAGAGCCACGTACTGCCATTATGTGGTGAGGGATTCTCATTTCCATAGAGATCGCAAGCCGTATATTATATTCGTATGTTGGAGAAATGGCCGTAGAACACCTAGCGGTTCCTCGCAGCCGAGTAGTCGAACGAGGTAATTTGATTAGTGTTATTATAATTTTTCATTAAGGACTACCGTGAACACTCAATGTCTTTCCTTCATATTTTGTAAGTTATCAACTATCAAAATAACCTCAATATGGATGCAACGTTAAGGAATGACGAGGGGGAAATCGGTTCGATGAACTCAGAGGAGTTCACTGAACGAAATGACGACAATGACGGAAGCGCATATGACAACAGACTTTGTGATATTTGCAATCTTGTGCAACCGCCACATGAAACTGCTGATGTAATTGCCTGGATTTTTTTGTCCATGCGAAGCAATGCTTCATTTATTTTGTGCCTACGACCCATCACCAAACGTCCATGGAATCCACTGTCCCATGTGCGGCGCTATAACGGAGTCATAGCAACTTTTTTGTTCATGAAATTCGGAATTGTTAAGAGAACGAGTAAAGGCCCTTTTCAGGGCCACCCACAATTTGATTTAAATTCTTTTGTTTCAATTTCTTATTTCCATACCAAAGGTCAATTGGTGAAACCATCAATATTCATTTAAGATTAATAGTCATTATGTGATTATCGTCCACGTATTCGTAAACGCTTTTTAAGCTTTATCAAATATAGGGTTTAAGTAAACGATTTCGTATAGGAAATGTCATCTAATGAACATTCATCTGTCTAACAATAGTACATGCAAAACTGGTTCAGCATGTTTCAGTGTTTTGTCATATAGTTACGATAGGCGAATGTAGTACTACCAGTTCACTAGTACAACGACATCATTTCTATAGGAAAGGTCAACTGAACCAACAATGATGAATTCTAATTAAGCCTTAGTGATTAAGCAATATAATCAATTGAGATTTATAGAAATTTCGTGGATTAGATTATTTAAAGAGGATTTTATAAAACGTATAAATGTATCACTTTGTTCTTATTAAGCTGTGTAATTCAGAGAGAGACACCTATTTCCTCAGACGTAGGCTTGTTCTTTTATACTTAATGTAACTAATATTTCAAATACCTGTCAAAAATTGTTATTCAACAATATAGAATATTCTGTGGGGATTTTTAAACTGTAAATATGCTGTTGACATTACGTGCAAAACATTGTTAAGCTCAATTGACGAGCACAATAATCTATTCATCACATGACTACTTACATAGACAAGTATTTTTTGTCATAATTTTAAACTGCTCAACTACAAAGAATGTACAGGTAAAAACAAGTAACGCTTTTAATGGATTGGCGAAATAACACAATGGACAATCTTGCACTTATTTATGACACCATTTTTCCGGCGAAACTAGACAATTCTTTTATACTAAGAGTTACTGTTTGGAAAAGAACCCAATCACATAAATATTGTTTGCTATTTTCTAAGAGAAGTTATTACTATTTTGCTTCATTCACCGATCATTAACGATTAGCGTGATTTATGCATGCCCTATTCATTATTTTATCATGATGATTTATGGATTAGTTGCTACGCATATAACGTTTAATAAAATAACATACGATGTGTTAAGAAAAAACTAATGGAAATACTTCGATGAATGATTTCTTTACTAATTGTGTATTGAAAATTCGACCACCACCTTTCTCTTTGATTTTTCACACAAGGTAAGACAGAACATGAGATATTTGTTCCTTCAAAATGGATCAAAACTGGCACGTTAGTGGAGTATGAAGTCATTGGCAGTATGTTAAACCTTATTTATCATCATTTACTATATTCACACGTGAATACATCCTTTTTATTTCAACACTCTGGAAATTTCATTTGTGACTGCAGTCGGCTACTAAATGACATCCAGGCATCCGTCTCAAAATACGTTTCACTTACCATTAGTAACTACACGTCGAGTGACTTTTAAATATCAAGAATGATATTCAAGTCTTGTGGACAAACTCACAAAACGATGTATGACTTGATAGTAATCTGGAAAAAGATTAGGTAACAGTTATTTGATTGTGGATTGACCAGGCAGCTTCTGTTTTTCCTTTTTGGTACATGTGATATCGAATTTTTCTGGGGCATTGAAATCACAAGAACATTCAATGTCATTGCGATTCAACATCAAAACGGTTGGCTACTTTCCAAAATCTCTGCTTTGTCATACATATCCGATAAAATGAAGATGAAGAAAGGTGACGTCACCAAACTTATATTCATCATAGACAGTCTCAGAATTATTGATGTATTTAACAATACGAAATTGAATATGAACACTCAGTAAATTATAACAGATTTCAGTTCACCATGTGTTAGGTACCGAAACAACATTTCCACCACTGAGCGAATCATTCCATTATCCAATGATCAATTCACCTTCAATATTCATTGCATAAAATATTGTCTTTATTATCGATGAATTTTCGTTGATCCAACTAGTCTGTTGCATTAACCGACAGCACACAGACCAGAATGCGGCCACATACTTTGCTGAAACCAGTGACAGCATTGTGCTTACATCTGAATGTAAACAGTCATTGAATTCTGTCAAGTTTGTCAGTCGGAATTCATCGTTCATAATTGATATTCTAACTTGTTTCATTCACTCTAAACATTCCGTTGTGAAACGTTAATGAAATTGAATGTATACTGAGTATTGCATTACGCACTGTGATAGCAACTCTCCAGTGAATGAAATAGTCACTTAACACTGAAATCACTATCATGTCATTTAGTTATAGTTCCATGTATTGTGATTCTCTTTAGTTCTGTTTACGTATTCGAATTATATAATCACCTCATTACTTTTACAGCAATTTGTCCAATACACAATTCATTTGAAGCATGTCGAAAAGCAACAACATCGAATGTAAAATGTATTTGGTGTGAGAAATGGAACACGTGCATCGACAGTCATCATCAGGATAATCATTTCTTTAAAGTGAATGATTGCCATTTTAAGGTATGTCGAATCGGTGTTAGATGTTCTGAATGATTGTACAAATGCACATTTTGTTACTGTTTGTTGAATTGTATTTTATTACCCTTATTGACAGTAAAGCGTAATGAATTAGTCTAAGGGTATTTCATGCTTTTTAATGAATGCTACTGTTTTGTTTATCCAAAAGAGCCCGGATGTTAACGATGTGAGTACATCGACACCCGTCAATCAAAACGGAACAACATTTGGGATCCCTGAAGTTCAGGTTGGAGGAAACGTCAAGCAAACTACCAATGGAAATGAACAATACTCGGTAAATATTTGATAGTTAATAATAAATGCTACTGTTTTGTTTATCCAAAAGAGCCCGGATGTTAACGATGTGAGTACATCGACACCCGTCAATCAAAGAGGAACAACATTTGGGATCCCTGAAGTTCAGGTTGGAGGAAACGTCACGGAAACTACCAATGGAAATGAACAATACTCGGTAAATATTTGACAGTTAGTGATAAATGCTACTGTTTTGTTTTTCTGTAGAATGCGACCACTGAAATAACTCAAGAAAGTGGACAGAACAAACCACTTTGGTATCTGTATATTGTTATTCCTTCCGTCGTCTTCTTCTTTGCTGCATGCATCAGTTGTGTTATTTGTAGATTGTAGCATAAAGGAAGGAGAAATAGTGAATGACTCTCAACAAAGTCTCATAACTAG